CCCAAGTACTACGTGAAATTATCAGTCTTGGCCTCAATGTGTCCTCCAGGTGCACATAAAGTTGGCACGCAAGCTGCGTTCAAGCGGATACGGCACCAACCGGAACTTCCCGGAGGCGGGTCATCGAACATGAGGGTTAGCACCGTTTGTGTTTTTGCTAGCTTCCTCGTAAAGATTCCTCAGGAACCCGACTCACCAAAGCCCTACTACTATAAACCCTACTACATATTGGTCTGGTCGGCCCGGGTGCAGCTGTGAGCTTTTTGGAACTGTCCGGGGCAGTGAAATCTGGAGCCGATGCTGCTTCCGAGTTCTAAAGCGTATAAACCCGAAATCCTCAACCCTCAACTCCAAACCGAAGTCGGTTATCATCAACAGGAGCGAGAAGACTGCAGAACGGTAAGGATCTCGTAAATGAAATGCTGTCTTTAATATCCCGCGTCAGATGTTTATGATCAGTCCTAATGTTTCTTTGGTGCGTCGGTGCCTTGAATATGAGCAGGTGTGCCGAGAGATGCTGACGGAATTGGAGTCTGCCAAGCAGGCTCGAAGATAAGACGTGTGGGGGCTCTGCGGTGTGTAGTGGTTTGGAATTTTGTTGCAGGATGCTGCGGGTTTGTTCTTTACGGAGTTCAGATGATTTAGTGTTTGGGAGGGATTCAAGGTTGCGCTTGTCGGCTGCAATTAGGATTTGGGCGGTTGTGGGCACAAGGCTGTTGAATGAGCAAAGACTTGCGCAACAACTTCTGGGAGGGTTTAAACAAATTGAAAGGAAACCCCTGAACCCGAATCCAAACCCGAAAGCCGATGGCCTGAAGCACCAAATTCACAAAGCGGTAGATGGCAATGACGACGCCAGTGCCGAGCAAAGCGACAGCAACATCACCACTACCAGCAGCAGCAATAGCAACATCAGCTGCAGCATGCAGCCCTAAACAAAAGCCCTGTTAGACCCACTTCCGTTCACTACCCCCAGATTCAGGCCTCTGTAACAAGTCCCGTGAAGCCCCTGTACTACGTAAACGTCAGTGTAAAGCCCAGTAAACCCGCTGTGATCCCCTTATGCTTGATGCATATAGCCCCGAAGGTTATGACGAATCGTATAAAACCGTCTATAACGCCCTCTCAAAGTCACCCCACAATGGCCGAAGGTTTATTGAAAATACCTGGCAGAGGCAGCTTCGAGCAAGAGCCGGCTCCCGGTGGAGAATGCAGCTTGGGCCCCGGCAGTCCTCTCTGCTTTGGGGGTTTCGACACGGAAAGCTACAAGAGCCGCTATAAGAAGGGCTCCATAAGGTTTATAGAAGGGGCTGTTATATGGGTGACTGTAAGAGTTGTTTCAAGTGCTACTGTAAGGGTTGCTATATCGGTTGCTGGGGGCTTACAGTAAGGGTTCAATCAAAAATTTGGCTTCTGCAGCCCTTCTGATTTCTGATGCAGGTATACGAGAGTAGAAGGTGCGGAGCTGGGATGTCTCGAGGATGCCCGCATTCCTTCTGCTTGGGTTGACCAGCGAGCAGCCAAACCGGGTCTAAGCCCGACCCCTGAACCCCAGCTGGATTCAAAGTTGGCTGACTCGCTTAGCTCAGGGTTTTAGAGATGTTCAGGTTTAGGGTAATTATTTTTAAAGTCATATGCCCGAAGGCTGTTCAGGATTCAGGTTCACACTTTATTGCCTCGTCTGCCCTGTAGCTTGAGCAGGGTTTCTGGCTCAAGGCGTTGATTTCTGGAGCTTCTGGCTCGACAGCTCGAATTCTCTTACCTTTGGTTAGTAGGGAATGGAGGAATGGGGTGCAAGTATAACTACTATTACTACCATTCTTCCATTCCCTACTCACCAAAGGTAAGTTCTGGGGTCGGCCAGCCGCGGGGTTTGAATTTCGGCTTCCAGGCTGAGGACTGGAAAGCAAACGGTAACCTTTGTGTTGTGGCGTTTGTTGCACCGGCACTGGATCCTCACACCCTCCTTGTCTTCAGGATTCTGCGAAGAAGCTGCTGGCCAAGTGCTTCACCAATCTGCTGGAGGTGCTGAGCTTTAGAATTTCGACTTCTCCTCAACCCTACCTTGGGACAAGTAATTAGTCTTCATCTTTCTAGAGACATTTAGAAGGGATCTTTCAAGATGTTTTGTTACGAGTCCATCAGAAGTCATTCGACCTTAAAACCTTCAAAAACCCTGTCCTTCTAGTCTAGTATGTAAGCCAAAATTCCTCCAGACCCTGATCTCAAAACCACCCAAGACATTGGGTCGAAAACCCGAACTACTGAATCCCTCAACCCCAGGATCTCGCAGCACCCTAAATCCGCTAAGCCCCAACGTGTCGGGTGTTGGATTCAGGTTTACAAAATGGGTAATACGATTTCCACAGCGGTTGCTGTTGGGGTGTCTGCGAGCTTACCATGAGGGTTCTGGGATTAGGGCTTGGGAAGGTTGGCTGTTAGTAGCTACGTCAGGGCATAGGACCTTAGGATTTGCAACTCAGGATGCTGGTTTTCAAGGGACTTCCAGGCCTAGCATGCGAGGCCGACAACCCTTTATTTTGGAAATAATAATGGTCACAATATTATCATTACTGCTTTTAGTATATAATATTGCTGATATTATACAACTAACTGTATAACTGTTATTATTAATATAATACTTACTATTACTATAGCATTGTAGGTTTCACATAAGGAGCCCGGCCAGGCCTCGGATCTGAAACTTGTGGGCACAAGCGTCATCCAGCTGCTGCCTGCTATGAAGGCAGGACCTGTTTCCGAAATGGCTACTAGGGCTCCCAAAGGGTAGCAGCAGCAGTAGTAGTAGCAGTAGTAGTAGTAGCAGCAGCAGTAGTAGTAGTAGTAGTCGTAGTAGTAGTAGTAGTAGTAGTAGTAGTAGTAGTAGTAGTAGTAGTAGTAGTAGTAGTAGTAGTGGTAGTAGTAGTAGTAGTAGTAGTAGTAGTAGTAATAGTAATAGCAGTAGTAGTAGCAGTAGTAGTAGTAGTAGTTAGCAGCAGCAGCAGCAGGAGGAGGAGGAGGAGGAGGAGGAGGAGTAGTAGTAGTCGTCGTAGTCGTAGTGGTAGTAGTAGGAGGCCTCGGAAAGTGAGGCTGCAAGGGGTGCTATCAGGGCATGAGGGTCTCTGGTTTGTTACTTGTCCCGAAACGGGAATTTTGCGTGGCCCCTTCTGTTCTGTGCGGGGTATGGGGTACTCCTAGCGTTAGAGGTTTTCGGGTTTAGGATGCTAGGGTTGACAGGGGGTGTTGGCATTTTTCGGGTCTAACAGTCTAACTTCAATTATACGAGCCCCTGAATCCCCAAAACCACACTTGCTCCACGAATCGAGCGGTTGAATGTCACCCGGCGAATTACTGGTCTCAGGATTTGGTTATTTCGGTTCAAAATTCCATCTGATGCGGTTTGGGAATGTACCAGTCAGGTTTTCCACGTTGGAGCATCTCGATATGGATGAAGGCTGTAGGGTTTGTGGTTTATAAGGTTTAGGTTTTAGAGTTGAGGTTAAAGGTTTAGTGTAATTAGGGTTCAGTGACATCTGCGGGAGTTTGGTGTGTCTAGGTTTTATAGCGTAGCTTTTGGGATTTTAGGATGGCAGCCAGCCAGATTACCTTAAACCCTCGACCCTAAAATCCGCAACCCCCAACTCCAACTAAGCCCCAAACCGGAGAGGAGCCGTTGAAACCTCAGCCATTTCTGCTGGTCGCACTCTCAGTGCCAGCTTCGCAGATGGAGCTGTGATTAGGACCGTTGGGGTTGTGCGAGGTTGGGGGTGTGAGGGCCGATAAGTGGGTCGAGTATGTAGAGGTTTTAGGCGAAAGAACCACCGGGATTTCGGAGTTTGGTTTGGATAGTTAAGGGTCATGGCTTGTTCGTGCCGCACTCTGAGCTTCTGTGCTTGGCTGTGCGACCATACATATGACTACGGCAGCGCGGTTCGATTAGTAACAGTTCCGGTTAGGGTGTGTAGACTTTTCAATGTTTTACTGGCTATATTGGCTTCTTATGCTACGGAGCAGTGACAAGCATGCTGCACTCACATGTTATCAACGCGAGAACTAGACAGCATGAAGTAGTTGTTCTGCGCATGGTTCTGAAACATGGTAGGGATCCAGGCATGCAGTAGTGTCCGAGAATCCCAGGATTGAAGTTGCTGCAGCATTTCTGCAACTGTGGTGCGAAGTTCATTTGAGGCCCCCTTGCAAGAGCAGTTCCGAAGATGTGCCAAGCTCGGTTCGCATGGACTTGGCTTTCTTGGGGCACGCAGGTGTGAATATGTCATCTGCATAAACCCTAAACACAAGAGTTTGCGCCCACCAAGCCCTGCTTCGTGTGCGCTGGTACATGCCCTCAATGTAAATCCCAAAGTAGAACCTTACATAGCAAACTCTTCCTCCGTTATGGGTTGGCTCCCTCTCACCATCTCCAAAGCTCGCGCAGTCATAGTTTGAGGAGCAATGTTCGTCGTAGTCACCGTAGTAGGAGGGGCAGCAGCAGCAGCAACACCGTGGTAGAGTTTTCTCGGCATTGTGGCTGGCGATTATGGCCGAGAGGAGTTGTAGTGGCTAAGTCGCAGAAGCTTTGTGCCCTCGGCATGATAGCAGATGTCCTCGCGCCGGTTGCACCCGCATTTTTCTCCACAGCTGCAGTGGTCACAGCTACAGTGGCCGCAAGGCGGCCTCTCCATGATGGTGGAGCGGCTCGCGTGGAAGCGATCAAACAGGTAATGAGGGCAGACTTCAGGACAGCACTTTGTGCTTGGAGCGTTTGGCTTCTGGCTGTCTTAGAGGTAGGCACGTGCACGGCCTACCCCTTGTTTGCCTTGTTCCTGAACAACACTCTGCTGCTGCCGCTGGCTGGATTTGGATTGTTGGTTGCCCTTACACACGGCGGATGCAATGTGTGGTCATACTCGAGAAGTCCGATGATGTTTTTGCTTTTTTCCTGATGGCTATTCCAGATTCGGATTCCTTGAGGACAAGAGGCCGGCAACGTCACGACAGGTATGAAACTTGGATGCTGCTTCTTCCTCTATTACTCCTTCGCAGTTGCCACATCTTCGCTTCAGCTCTCCAAATGCGGCAAGGGCACTGCAGACGACACCTGCGAACAGGCACCACCATTTTTGCTGGCCGCATGTCAAAATGAAGAGTTCCATGGTTTCGATACCTGTATGGAAACTTCTCCGTGGTTTGCCAATGCATGCATCGTCACGGGAAGTACCTGCCGTTTGTTTCGTTCTGATGACAGCTGGTTGCAACTCGCCAGTGACACTGTGGGATCTGCCGCGGAGCATGTGTATTACTCGATGGCAGTCCTCCCTGTGGTATTACCGTTTGTATCGCTTATCCTTTGGCTGCCATTATGCTGGCTACTGTCCTGTGTGTTGCCGCGAGCAACACCGAAAGGCGGCTGGCGGCGAAAGGTAGAGGAGCGCCTTGATTCGATTGAGGCAGAAATGGCAGAGGGCAGGTTCAGACCTAGCAGATATTCACTAGGGTCACTCTACGTGGAATTCTTGCTGCTTGTCATGGACATGTTCTCTGATATCAACTGCATTGTCACTTTCTTCGCGATTGAAAACCATCCAGCTGCGGGCATATTTCAGACAGTCGTCTTGGTTTTGCCGGTTCTATTGGAGCTTTGTCAGACGCGGCCCTTCCAGCCTGTCGTTCTCTGGAAGGAATTCAACAAGTCACGAAGGCGGGGATATCGCACCGCTGGCTTCATTCGCATCGTCCTGGCGGAGAAGGCGACAAATGCCCCAAAACAACTGCCCCCCAAATAGGAGTAGCAGTGTTCTGGTTGACACCTTAACCGACTCCACGGCCTTTCTTTACCGCTCACTGAGCCCAGGGCTTGGAAGCACCACTGTCGTGTGGCTTCCAGCTGTCCATCCTTTATCGAAACATGCGCCGCGGCCTTTGCTAAGTTTAAAGGGGTTCAGGGTTACGGGGTTCCAACAGTCGCAAAGGGCAGCTACTTCCCTTCGGCACCTCAGCGGCTATCCTGGATCCAGGGTGTCACGGTTCCAGGTTTTAGGTTCCGGTGAACCCCAGATAGCCACACCTACGGTTGGTGCCTAAAATCCTGCATGACTTTGAACATCTCCCCGGCTTCCCTGCTACCCTCAATTTGAATATTGCTCTGACGGACAGGCTATAAAAGGGGCTTGCGCGAATGCCCTAAATCCTGCATGACCTCATGGAGATGCAACATTGAAATTAAGGGGCTGCGGGGAAGTAGGTAGCGCGATGTGGAGCATGTAGGATGTTGCTGGTCATGCAGGATTTTGGGCATCAGCAGTAGTCACCTAACCCGTGAACCGAAGCCAAACCTTTCCTCCGTCGAGTCGAGGTCTTGGTGCTTTTTTGGCTAGTTCCCACAAGGAAAGATCCGGCCAACCAAGTCGTGACATGCTTGACTTGTTCGCAGTCATCTTTTAACAGAGCTTACAGCCGCCGGGGTACGTGGGTGATACTTAGTCAACATAAGTCTCATGATCCAAAGCACACTCTAAGTGAACACGTACCAAGCCCAAGGCCCCAAACATCCCCCCAAACACTCACAAGAATAACCCGGGCTAGTATGATCTTCTGAGGTTTGGAGTACCATACTTTAACACTTCTTTCTTAATGGAACCATTATGAAATACAAGTTTGGACTTATATCTCCCTGGTTATTTAAGCGCTCAGTCTCTCAAGCAGACCCGACTTCCTAAGCCCGAAGCCCAAATTCCGAAAGTGCCAGGGATCAAAAGCCCAGGAGCCCGCGAGCGTTTCTGAGTTGTTGGCTGTCTATATCTCTCAGTGCCCTTTCTACTGCCCACTGCGCTCATTGGATTTGCAATTCCAAGCACGGGTTTAGAGTCGAGGGGATTTAGGGTTTTGCGTTGCTGTTGAAGTGGTTTTCATAGGTCTTCGCATCCATCTTTCTTTGGAGCCGTTCTTGCCAGCGGCCGTCTGAGGCGTACGAAAACTTCCACCTTGGCATGATCGACATCATACAGCCAAAGCAAAAGAGGCATTGCGGCGGTGACGACGGAGGTCAACGCACCCGAATGTGCCCAATGTGCTTGGGCCGTGTACCCGACACAGAGTGATTCTGATCCCTGTACGTCTGCAGTTTTGTGAGGATTAGCTCTGCCAGCGCCTGTCCGTACAGGCCCAAGTGTTTAAGCTAGCCAGGCCACCGCACTGCTCGGATGTGGCATTTTCAATTTTCAATAATGTGGAGTCGCCCTAAACGTTCAAGCTTAGCCCGGAACCCCCAAACTAAACCGTCAACCCTAAGCCTGTTGGATCTCAACAGCCTTCAACCCCTTGCCCGAGACCCTAATCCTTCCCAGACACAATGCGATTGGCATTGTGTCAACATATGGAGGTCATGAATGCCAAGCTCTTTGAGCGAACTCTTTCATCTGCAGCTGCCGTAGGCAGCACGCGAGAACATGATGAATCGCTGAGATTGAAGTCTCACTGTTGCTTTTGTTTCGATGTTATAGGGCAACGCGAGGTGGGGCTGTGCGCCTGTAGCAGTAGTCAAGCGCGCCAGCTAGCAAAATCAGATCTGTATGGTGTGTAGAGTCTGGAGTCTAGAACAGAATCCAGGATCTAAGGTCTCCAGTCGCTCTGGCTCCACGTGAGACATGAGAGCCCCTGGAAAGCATGCCACATCAGTTTTTCCTGCATCACCGGGCGGCCCCGGACCCATATATTAACCAACAAAGTACACCTCTTCTCGTGGTCTTGCAAAAGCATTGAACTTGGTGATTTGCGCGTTGCTCGCTTGAGTCTGCGCACTGTTTATTTGCATGTTTCGAGCTATTTCTCACTCCTCTCTCACTCTTTCCAGTGACTGGTTTTGTCCAGCATTCGGACCACTGTACTTTTGCTACATCGTGATTCGGGAAATGAGGCTCGCAAAATATGTCAGATCAAGTCAATACTCAACCACCACAGCCGATGCAACAGTTTCCAACCTTTGCCAGCCGCCAGCCCTTCAACCCCCAACCGGTAGCGCTGAACGTTTGAGGTGCGGCTATGGTGGCGGAAGGACAGCGCAGTGTGCTACGCAACAGGTGCGCTCAAAGGGGAGCTTTGACGAACAGAGGGTGTTTTTGTTCGGCTTTCTTGGGGTTCGGGGACTGGAACCCCAAGCATACCGGAGACACAGCTGCTTCGTGCTACCTGCACAAATATCAGAGTCGGATTGAGGGTATATCACGCAGCCGTTCCGGCTGTAGAGCAGACAGTCCCGCCCTATACCATAAAGCCCTAAACCCTAAAACCCCAAAGCCCTAAAGCCCTAAACGCTATAAAGCCCAAAGCCTCTTATAAACTCTAAAGCATGCATCCTTTCGGTTTAGTACTGCTGTAGTTTTGGCTCGATAAAAACTACAGTAATACAATCCTAGGCACCCCTATAATGTTTGTAATTAACTGTCAGGCGTGGGCCCGAAACCGCGAAATTTCGGGGGCCGGGAGTTTCTATATTAGGAGTGGGGGGGGGGGTTAGTGTTAGGGGGAAGCGATTATATCAGATCCTCGAGAGGCTTGTCGCTCAGGCAGAGCTTGGTGTTCGTACGGCTAGGCCAGCACTGAATTCACACTTGGATGGCGTCGGATGGTTGATATACGCCGAGCACATCACCCGCACGTCCGTTTGTCTGTCTACACTGATCGAATTGAGCCTGGACGGCCGGAAAACGGAAGTTATGAAATCCGGGAAACTCCCAACGACATGAAGCTGCAGAGAACTAAGCCCTACTACACCAAGCGACCCTTCATTGAATTCATGAAGCCCCAAAAGACTCCAAGCTCTGAATCTCTTTGAGATCGGCTGCAGGCTCCAGTCCTGGTCTCCCTCTGCGATACCAAATCTCCAGAACCTGCGCAGCTCTCAGTTTTGGAGGGTCCAACCAACCGTAAGCCCGGGTATGTCTTCGCTCCAAGACAGCGCTAAGGCGCAGCCTGAGTCACGTGAGCGCTCTTCGGGAGGCATGGAAGCGATTTACTCTGGAACTTCAGGTCTTGGGTTCGGGGTTCTGGGCTTTGGGCGGCTCTGCTGCGTTGCATTCCGGGTTTTCAAAGGTTCGGTGAGCTGATGCTGAGAAGCGTGGGCTTGTTCTTGTTGTGGGTCGGGTGCAGGATTTACACGGGCCGTGAAGACCACCTATATATATACTTATATTCAGATTACAGGACGGCCTTCTTGAGCCCCCTTATACTTTACAAGGACCTTCGTGAGCCTGGCGCGAAGATGTTATGGGATCCTTGCACTTATGCATGGCCCTCTAGCTTGAGGTATCGAGTGCTTGTTTCCTTCGCCAAGCTTAACCATCCCATCCGATCCGAACTAGCTACGGCTTTCATGACCAGCAAATCCAGGAAGACTAGCCCAAAGCCGATGATCAACTGCAAGCCACAGCCCTGGGCCCTGAAACCTTAAACGTCAATTCTATTTCCGTCAACACAAACCTCCTTACGTCGGAGCCTTCAGAATGCCCTGACAAAGCGCTTAAAACCTAATAGAACCTTGTAACACACTGAACCCTTGGACCCCAAACCCCATAAACACCGAAAGCCTGCACTCTAAAACCTTCGACCCTTCATCCCAAGAGTTTAAGCGGAACCCATGATGGCCAGAAAAACCGTTCTGACAAGACGTATACAACATTTCTCCAAACGACGGAATTTCTCGACACCTCTGAACTTGCCTACGCTCTGCCTTAAAACCCCATGCGACAATCACTTGTCTGCGACCCCTCAAGCAGGTGACCCTGAGGTGCCAAGCAGCCTGCCAATCGCCGGGCTCCCGAATAGGGCACCCGAAGACTCAAAAGCCTTGACATGCTATGATATCGATATCCCTAAAATCATAGCAAGGAATTCCCCCTCTCTATAATATGATTTACCGTTTGCTCCTTAATGCCGGCTTGTTTGGGGTCTGGGCTACCGCATGCAGGGGACCGTACATACATGGAAAAACCCTTGTCATACGAACGCCTGAAAACAGGGAGCCCTACATTTCGGAGTGTGTTTTACACATACATATATGTATGTATGTATATATATATATATATACACACACACACACACATTTTTTGCACACAGTGCCCGCCAAGCGTCTTTGCGTGGCTGCCAAATTTTCGCTGTGGTCGTCCTTGTCCTCGTGTTCAGAAGTAAAACCTGCTTTGGTGCTGGTGCCTAGAGGCAAAGAGCCTGCCGAGACCCTAGATTGCAGTGCCATTTTTCGGGGTAGATATGTCGGCTATGTTGTATTATGGCCAAATAGTGTCAGCTTTACAGGAGAAGTAGCCAACGGAACTACGGTGAAGGGTCTACGTAGATGCCATTTAAGTTTCAGGGCCAGGCCAGTAAATCAAAGTGCCAGAGTATACTATCTGTGATGATTCAGGCAAATGTGACGAACAGCTCAATGTTCTGTGCTTTCCGCAAAGGCCCTTGATAAGGCCCTCTGACAAAAACGACCGGAGTAACCCAGCAAGTCCCTGCGTATGAGCCAGCGAGGCCGGAAATCGCCAAAAGCATGAAGTGCCCCGCCCACCGCTCTCCACCGGTTTGAGGGTTTCAGAGCTTCGAGGCTTGTAGGGTTTTCAGGATTTGTAGCTTAGGCATCTGGGTATTTGGGGTTTATGTGGGGCTTGTGTCGTCTATGCCGTGTTCGAATTGGCTACAGGCTTCAGGGATTGGGGGTTCGGGGCTTGGTGTATCTTGGTGTCGTGTAGGGTTTAGGATGACACATCTGTCTATTACTTCTTGCAAAGTGCTGCGTTTGGAATGTCGGGGGCCTGCCTGATGCTTATTCTGCCTCCAGGGGTGCCGACAGTGCAGTTGCTTGGTTTAGGATCGTTTAGGAGTTTGGGATTGGGGGGCTAGTGCTTTCGTGCCTGGGGTTGAGAGCTTCGGTGTTTCAGATTTCGGGGACACCCAAACCAGCTTCTTCAGGAATAACTCTGCCTTAAACTATGTTGCAGGATTCCTTGAAAGGCTATCGCAGTTTTTGTGCTGGTTGAGGGTTGATGTTAGATCGGCCGTTCGGATTGGAGGGGTTTGGTTTGGTTCAGCAGCTTGGGGGCCTTATAGGCTAGGGGCTCACGTTGCAGGGTTTAGGGTTTAGGGTTAATGGGACAGCAAAACCTCGACTCTACACCGCTTTCAAAGTATGTCCTAGACCCCTGGGGGGGGGGATCTTCGAGGACAAGATCAGCAATCGCGTTGCTCAAACCCTAAATCCAAACCCGCAGCCCCAGATCAGATTCAGCCCTAGATTCCATCCCTTTGATTCACAAGCACTGAATCCTCAAAGCACTGGCTGCACTGCACTGCCAGGCAGGCAGCCCAGGAAGTCTGCCGCAGCATCAAGGAGACTGACTGGCCTGTTCAGGTTTATGGCTGAAGATATACCTTATTAGCCTCAGCCTATATCCTTGTCATGTTGAACCCTATCCTATCCTATGTGCAGGAGTCGCAGGCAGCCACCAAAAAGCAGCGCAGCTCCGTGGCGACCTCATGGGGACTGTTTTGGTTGAGGAGTAGCTAGGAATTCCCAATTGTGAGAGCCTTTTCGATATGGTTCGGAATAATGAGAATGAGTCCGAGGGGATACTCGAGTATAAGCATACAGGGACCATATGGGGACACTGTTACAACTTTCAAACCTGTGTACATTACTTTCTGAAAAAGTCCATGGCCCATACTCGATGATGTGCAGAAACTGCAATATGCTGCATTTCCTGCGTACCGGCCCATCACATCCACACCCGAAGCTCCAAACCGCCATGTTTCCGTCCTTACCCCAACGCTCTCTGCTGGTTTCGATGAGGTCCTCATTGAACGGCTGCAGTCCAGTGTTGCTCTGCGCGAGCTCGAGAAGGATCTGGATGCACTGCAGGCACGCCTCGGTGGTGGTGTTTACGTTGGTTGCATTTGGCTCGATTGAACGGGTTTAAAGTGGATACGTTCAGCTTTCAGGGTCAGGGTCAGAGTGTGTGTGTGTGTGTGTGTATATATATATATGTGTGTGTGTGTGTGTGTGTGTGTTTGCGTGTGTGTGTGTGTGTGTGTGTGTTTGCGTGTG